TATTTTATACGCATCGTGCGGTTGACCGCCGTCTCGGACTGTCCACAAAAACCTCGAGAGCCCGTTTAAGACGAAAATTTTGAAAAAAAAATAAAGAGACCCACGTCCGACCCCAATCGATTACTATATTACCTATATAGCCAGTCAAGTCCTCGTCGGGTCGCGCGCTTATATGGAGAGGTTCACGTTCACGTGGCGGACGGCTGTCTGTAGCGCGCGTTTTCGATAGTAATAATAATAATAATAATAATATTTTAATATATTATAATTTATAATATTCGTACGTACCGCACGGCGGCGCGCGCACTGATGTCATGTCCAAGGTCGGTCGCGGCGCGCCGTACGATATAGGTACGACGCAGCCGCCGCCGCCGTAGTATAATTTTTTAGTAATGACTAATAACTAACAACTAATAATATATTATCGTGTACGCGCGCTCACGTTGTTATAGTAATATTATAATTATTATTATTGTTAAAACGTTGTCAAAACGGCAACACGCCCAACGTTCGAATGATGCATGTGCGTAAATAAAATATACTAAAAATAATTAATGCGATCTGTGCGTCGCGGCCGGTCTCAGGTAAAGTATCGACTCCGATTGAATCTGTACCGCGCGCTTGTGAGATATTATTACGATGTCGATTTCGTAACGATAACGTTACTGGGGGGGGGGGGAGGCGATTGCAGCCGATAACAGCTGCGTAAACCATGATCTGGAGAAACTGCAGAGTAACGTGTTAAATATAAACAGTTTTCTGTTTTGTAAGTCGAAAATATCTCGCGGGCGACGGAGACGGTACAAAGACGGTTGTTAATGATATCGAGTGGACGACATTGTACAGCTATAGACTCTCTTCGACGCAATATACGTATATCGCGGGCGGGCGATACTCGAAACGAAACATGCCAAAGTCTCGCGGTCAAAACGTGCCAAAAACTTCATACCGCGTACACCCGGCGCGAGGGAAACAAATCGTCGTGGAAGCGGCGGCAATCGCTCTGTATGATGTGGTGTGCGTTAAAAAAAAAAAAATAAAAAATAAAAAAACGTAAACGCACAGACCCTCCTCTCCGCGGCAGACATCGGCTGCAACTGAAACGCCGAGGGAGGGGACGGTTGTACGAAACGAATTCCGACATTTGGGCGGCTATACGCGCAACGACACACGCGTTTTATGTGCTCACCCGGCGCGCGAGCCCGCTGCTGCCGCCTCAGCCGCGGGCGGAACGCACACACACACACATATGCAATATTAAACACGGCGACAAGCTGCCTGTGTGCGGGTACGTTTAAAAATGTCTGTTAAAAAACAAAACGAATAAACGCTGTGTGGCGGTGTTCGGCCGGACGGCTACCGCACTGCACCGGTGGTGGTCCATATAATATACTTCGAGCGACGACGGTTTAAGCCAGTAGCTGATAGCGATTTATTTACATATTTTTATTTTTTTATATATATATATACAAAATATCTTCTCCAGTAGGCGCCTACATAGCTGAGTGATGCTGTGGACTTCAACGGGAATATGTATACTGTTGATCTATAAGTAGGTAATACTTTACTGTTCGTCGTGTTAGTAAATATATCTTTTTTTTCTCCGACAATACAGTTTTTCATAACCTGGTCAATGGATTTTTCTAGTATACCCAAAAGACCATAATTTCAGATTATTAAATATTTTTTTTTACTGCATAAAGAAATATCTTATGAGGAAGTACACGCTTTGATCTTTTTAAATGACGACCTCCCTTTTCTACCGTAAATTATTCATCGGATAATTTTTCTGTGCACTTAGACGTATCAAAATCATAATGTGAACGATTAGTTTTAAGATATTTAACTCTGTTCACAAAATTGATAGGTCCGTTGTAATAAGTTTGGAAGATATGGTATTCAGTAAAATAAATTTGTACCAATACACATCACTTTCTATGCGATATAAAAAAATTCAAAAAATTGAAAATAATATTAAAAAAAAAACTCCAAATTTTAGAATCTGATTAAATTAATACGTGAAAAATTGGACGGAGCGTGTTTTGATAAATCATAATATATAAATATATCGCGTATGTATACAATACCGATATTAACGATATTATTAAGGATTATTAGGTACACGATATTATAATATACTTTATGGTCAATCATATTATAATATATGCTTTACCCGTGTCCTATAGGTATTATTATTTACACGAAAAATGACGTTATAGATATTACTCAACTGTAATAATCGGGAGCGGCGACCTAGTCGACCGCAAAATTCCTAGTGTTGATGAAACGAGCTCAAAAACACAGAGGATTCGTAAAAAAAAAAATAACCCTTGCACGGTCACAGCGATAATTGATGTCGCGGCATCACAACACAAAACAATAAAATTGTACATTGCCCGCACAAGACACAAAATTATCGAATATTTTTTTTCCGGGACGTGCGACAGATGATGGGTGACCAATGTATTGAATTATAGATGTAATATTATGCAAATTACAACATTGGAAAAATCGAATTTCACGTACGTATACCCACTGACCATTCTTTTATAATTAAATAATAATAATAATAATAAAAAAACGACAGACCGATAATTCCTCCAATTTAGCGGTCACGTGTGTACACGTGCATGGGGTATAGGAAGCAGGTAGATAAAAAAGGGGTTCTATACTTCTATATACCTAAATATGCATACGTGTGATGGTATATAAAATATATGTGTATTTAGTATATACATAATAAACATAAATATACGGATAGGTTTATATATATATATATATATATATATATATATGCGCAGTAGAACGAAAAGGCTTCAGGTTTTTTATATTTCTAATTCAATTAAATTCGACCCGTTCTCGATTTGAGGGGTTACAAAAAGCGAAAAAAAATCAACGGTTCGTAAATAATGCACGATGACAATCGTACGCGAGCACACCAACACACCGGTTTGTCCGGCTGTGCAAAAAAAAAAAATATGTATATAATAATAATAATCATTTTTCGTCCCCATACCAATAGCGACCAACATCGATTATGTAACACGAAACCACGATTCATAGCGTATATTTAGTAGCTCATCGTTATAAACTTAAAAAAACCAGAACTAAACCGGATAAAAGCTACATATATCTACAAAACACGTCGTAGGTGTCGACCGCAATCTCCGATTATTATTTTATATGTATTGTATTATTATTATCATTATTTTTATCCTCGATATAACTATATGTATAATTTAAATTACCGAGTGCACCGTTGCAAAACATCATACTAAATAATGACGCGATTATATTAATGTATATAAATCTGTTAGCAATTATTTATACTTATACTGTATGTTTGTATTATATGATAAAAAGATGAGGCGTGGTAAACACGAGGCGCTCACATTTTTTTTCCAAACACTTCTCGTACGTATACCTACTTTAATCTTTTCTCTCCCGGGTGCAATTCTCTATACGATAACTGGCGTCAGCTAATTGAAACATGTTGCAAACGATATAAGTGTCCGGTGTTAGGTAAAAAGACGTTCGTCGGCGGCGAATGGCATAAAAACGAATTTCTCGTTCTGAGGATTATCATGAATGTCCGTCGCTGATTTAATTTGTATGCTTTTATTTTCGAAATTAAACGCATTTTATTCCACATATACACTGCAAATGTAATGAAAGTAGCCGAAACACGTGAAAAGCGTATTCGAAACAACCGTGTGATAATAATAATAGTAAATTTAAAGAAGAATTTCGTCGATGAATACTACAACTAATAAGGTAGGTAAAATGTACAATAATATAATATGTTTAAGTATACTATTACTCGGTATATAAAAACGTCAGTAGAAATTGATTTTTATTTGAAACATAAGAAAAAACAATTGGTTTGCGTACTAGTGTATAATAATATGTAGGTAGTCTGCCAGTTTAAAAGAAAGCATATTCCTACGAGTCATACTCACATGCACAATCTATTGGTAATTAATTAAATTTACCGATAAAACACAACAACGGAGGCGTACGCGTGCAGCATGATTTATATATATATATATACAGCTAAACTGTTACCTATATATTATAATAGGTGTAAAACTGCAATGATATACATATTATGCGCCTGTTATCGTTTTCGCGCCGCACTAATGACATGCAAGAGTTGTATATACATAATTTTTTCAGCGGTAATTATTATTATACCTAAGTGTTATCACACAGTCACAGGTGTATAATTTGTTGAGATTTTTAATAGACTTATTTCTCAGAGTTTGTTTTCAGCGCGATGGGGGTTATCGCGCGTGTATTTATTAAAAATGATGTCGTACTTAAAAAAATTACCAAGGTTTCAAAAGAATAATGTAAACCAACAGTAAGCGAATATCATAATATTATAACCTAACTAAAACTATTTTCAGCTTCGAACCTACCAACGACTTTGGACGTTCAATAACATGTCAGCATCGGATATAATAGTAGGTTTTTCGTAACCGTTCGTGAACTGAAATACATATTACAATAATATTATAATAAAACCGGTCTAATCGTGTTTTATCGCCGCATAATACACGTTAGGAAGTAATTACTAATTACGAGTGATGTCTATTATCGTATATAATAATATGTACCCACTATCCATATACTATAATACTAAAATGTATATAATGTATATACTATATATTATACTGAAACGTTTCAATGCACCCAAACAAAACTCGTTTATATATTATATGTATAATGATATATACTATATAGTAGTAATATATTATATTCACAATCCTATACTATGGTTATTTTTTCCGGTGATTCTTAAAATCGGCGTCGAGAGCGGATACGATCGATATTATTTTAAAAAGCACTACGCACTACGGTATTATTTTCAGATTATGATATTTTTTTAAATCGGAAGACGAAACAACAACTATAATTCTTATATATATTGTATATGACGCCTTAATAAGCCACATATATATATATATATACATAACTAATAAACAATCGAAACTTACCTCTGGGTTTCCGTGGTCCACACTCGACCATCCGAGACCGTCTCTACCTTTGTTCACGCCCCGCTTCCTACCGCGACCCTGTAACAACAATACGTGCCATGAGCATAATATATACCTATATATACGGGTTGATCAGTATAGTTCGTATTACAAAATGGTAGGAGTGTTATACGATTCATATAAATTCCACAACAGTTTTGTAACACAGATTTCTAATCAGTCACCCAGTGTACCTATATATACAAAATCGAAACCAATTAGCGCAAGTAGGTAACAAACATTACGATTTCCGACGACAGAGTTTAGGAAAAACAATTTTATAATTAACGTACATTTTAGCCAGTATTCATTATATACCTTAACTAAATTTAACTAACCGTTGACAAAAAAAAAAAAAAAAAAAAAACTATATTCTCATTTTCAAACACCCCGCTCTATATAGTTAAAATATATCGATTTCCAAACGCTGCGTACATTAGCAAAACAAATTGTGTTCGGTTTTTCTTTCCGTCCGCTCTTATATATAATTCATAAGCATCGCGTCTCGCGATTGAATTTTATTATCGATAACTGTTGTTTTCCCTCCGCCACTACAACACCGACCTACACCGGTCGAGCGGAAACACTTGTTTTTATTTCTTACGATAAAAAAAAAACCCCGAGAAGAAAAAATCAAAATACAAGTCACCCCTTTTTTATATGTAGTACCTGTATAAACGAAAAAACTTGACCTACACGCGCGCGCGTGTAATAATCGAATCTGCGCGCGCTCGGTGTAGTCGTATTTTCTTTTTTTATTTCTTTATGAAACGACCGAGCAGAATATATAATATAATAAGTATAATGTACATGACAGCAACGACGACTACGACGACGACAACGTTTTAGGAACATTAATTCTTCGTCTATTTATACGGTTTTTTTTGGCCGGCGGAGACTAATATTTTGGCATCGGTCGCGCGCCGTGGCGTGGCTGTGGCGCGTATCCTCAAAAATATAAATATAATATATTATATACCGATACAAAAAAATACGTCGTTTATTTTTTAATGACCCAACTCTCCCCAATATTCACCGTTCAATTAAGTCGACCAATTTGTCGATATATACGCGAGTATATAGGTACTGTATGCTGCAGTGTGTGCGTGCGTGTATGTATTCCCTGCACGTTCATTACTCCCATTGCACGAGACCCTCTTTTCGGATTATTGCACAATCGACGGCGGCGGCGGTTGCGTGCAACATACACACACATAATGCAAGTAAAAATGGAACCTAACCAAAGGGGGTATACACTACGCACACAAACATTCATGTACACATACAATCGGGTTTTTTGTGTTTCATTAACCCGCCACCGCTCTCTCTAGCGATCGAGCCAAAGCGCGCGCGCGAGAAGCTCGCCACCGAAAAAAAAAGGGTGGAAAAAATAACCCGGAGCACTACTGCTGTGGCCGTCACCCTTTTTTGTCCGTTAGAAAAATCGCCCCCAGAGAGAGGGACCCGTTGTCGAGAAGAGGACGACGACCGCGAGACGACCGAGGTGTTTGGTCACTCTTCATGGCATATCGCAACGTGCCGCGCGCGTGCGCGTATGTGTGTGTATGACGTACGAGGGGGGAAACGAAAAACTACTGCAGTATAGCTTTAACCCTAAACGGATTTACCGATTAGATTTTTTATAACCTAATAATGACGAATGTATTAATCATTCGATAACGCTTGTAGACTGCCGCCGCGGGAAAAGACCAAGCATCGTTGACGAGCCGAGATGAAACCGCCAATGTCAATAAATCCGTCATTATAACTAAGTGCGCGTACAAGTGCTCCGTTGGCGGGAGAAAAATAACCACAAATCATGCAATGGAGCGCTTATCGTATAGTTAGTTGTCTAACTCGGTTATAATAGTATACGTTTCGATCGACTGCAGTCGTACAGGCAGTGAAAGAATAAAAACAAATAATCGTAAGCAACAATAAACATAAATATTTATATTCAAGTCGTTATGTACGAAATGTAATTATTATTATAATATTGTCGACGGAGTTCATTCGAATAGACGATTAGTGTTTTGTTTTTTTTTTTTGCACGCCAATCGTGTGTACTTTTGACGAGTACCTACGCAATATTATAACGATACACGGCTAGCCCATAAATTCGGCCTATATATATGTGTGTATATATGTATATGTATTTGTGTGTGTGTGTTTATTATGTTATATATTACTGCAGAGACATGCAGGCGACGGCGGCGGCGGTGGCGGCGATCGTCGATGAACGCGGAACCCCTTGATGACGACGATGATAGAACAAATATTTACGACGGATAAACATGGTATTAAAAATGCGCGCGCGTGGACGACAGCGACACTTGTCAGGTGTGTCGCGCACACGTGCAGGCATAGGTAATATTGTATATTATTGTAACAGGTATAAGTTAGGTAGGCTTACGAGACGGTCGGAAAAAAAAATGTTCGAAGCATTTTTGTAGACTATTTGTTTGGAAGAGAGGTGGGAGACATATTATACTGCACGTCAGAGGATGTCACGTCACAAACCGTATATTATAACAATATGTCGTGTGTATGATAATTGTTTTAATATTATATTATATTATTAATACCGAGCGGAAAACCTGAAGAACCTATCGTGATGTGCAGACGACGAAGAGGCGGCCGTGACTGATTCGTCTTGGCAGCGACGACGTGCGTGTACAGTAATTTAACGAACCCGAAGAATGCACATTTTACAAGCTAAATCGTCGAAGGCGGCTCCGGCAGGAGCATTTCACTGCGCAGGATTTACGGTGTGACCCGTTGAACCCCGTCGGTTATATTACACATGACACATAATATTACGTACATTATAATATTATTATAAACGCCGTAGCAGACGTCACATATGGTGTATCTCGATTTCTCATTCTCGCTCGCTAGCTGTGCCCATTTCCCCCGCGTTCAGTCGACGGAACTAATTTCGAAAATTTGCCACCTTATTTCCCGCGTAGGACGACGACGACGAATTTCCGACTCTCGTATACGACGGGCGAGATACGCGATAGATCCTGCAGCCGCGCCAGCGTAATAAATCCCGCGTATAATATGTGCCGGTTGATGGGGTAATATAATATAGTACTCGACATCCGACGATTCCGCCCCCGCCGCCACGAACCGTCGTTGCAACCCCAGCCAAGGCGGCCTCGTTCTCACGTGATGGAAGCTGCGTGTCGGCGGATACATTACCGCATAAGACTCGAGATTAGGCGATAGCTATAATTTTATTTTAGTGCGAGTTATAATATATTGTCACATGTTTTTCGACTGCTTGAGGTCCGTGTATTTTTAGTCATTTTTTTAGGATCGTGTAGATACGTCGTGCCGCTCTGGGGGAAGCCCACGCCGCCCACGTTCGGAACCATATCGTTCACCATCGTCGCGCGAGCGAAGTGAACGCGTGTGCATTTGACGTAAAAAACCGGTTCCCACAAGCCTTCCGAAAAAAAAAATGTATACACGAACACAACATCATATGCATAATCGAACACATAACGAGTACTATAATGTGTGTATTGATATTGAAGACCTATATAAACGAGTTTTTTTCATATATATACCAACGACATTCTGTTAATTTCTACCAACAGTTATGGCAGATAGGTACCGGTTTTATTGACAATAATAATAAAATAATAACCCGTGGATAAGTCGATAAGTACACGAGTGATAGTGTTCGGGGAAGATTACCTACTTAAATACAAATATTAAAAATATCTACTATGTACGTATAATGTATATATATATATATGTATATAATCTGCAATGGATGGCTATGGTTGTTAAAACGCATAGGATGGTCCAGTAATGAGCGGTCTAGACTTAAACCAACATGCCTACATCGCAAAAGCACGTATTATGTATTTATAAAGTACTTATAATATTGAGTGAGTATACCTATCTACCTACCTATATATAATAACAGATAAATAATGATGAATTACATAATCACACATAATTTTATTAATTTACAACGTGAGTGTATTATATCATTAATTATTAAAGTAATCGGTTAAAGTTTTGACGGGCACCTTACTCCTAACCATATACCGTATATTATATTATTATAAACCTACGGCCGTGTGTGTCACCACTCGCCTTTCGACTATGATTACATTATAATATAGACATTACACGGTAGCATACTAAAAAGCTTTTGCCGACAACGACGGCGGCGGCGGCGGCTGTTATATGACAATATTACATGTGGATGAACGACTGTCGTCGCTTTATGTATATATTATCGTACGAGGTAGGTATGTATCGAGGTGTCGCTCGGCAGATGTATATGTGTACTTCTCAGTTACCATTCATTTGGCGCGAGCGCGCGTGCGTGCGTCTCTCTAATAACTTTTAGGTGGGCGACTATAGCCTAATTTGCATATACGTATACATACACTCACACACAGACACACACACGTACATACATTATATACCTAGGTACGTATTTAATATACGCACACAGACACACGCAAACAAGCACATACACACATACATATTGCATAGCGGGCATCATGTATTGCGTGCAACAGTTTTTAACATGTTTCAAAACATTTATGCGCGACCACGAGACCGTGTGCACTGTCATTGTTAGCCCATATGGTTGGTATATGCATTTATATATATATAAATTTTTTAATATTTTGTGCGTGAGAGGAGTCTGTTTTTTACGGTCGTATATTACGAACACGTATAATTATCGTTTTCCCTCTCCCAATATCGCCGCCACCGTCGCCACACGTTCCGACCATCCTTTTTGTCTTCGTACGTTCGTCGTGAATTTATTACCGCGCACCGACAGTGGCGGTGGCGGCAGTGGCGCCAAATGATAAAACAACAACCATAATAATGTTAAAGTATATTTTTACTCTTTACTAGACTACTGGATATACCTAATAATAATAATAATAATGATTTGACGGCGTAGCGCCTGCGCACCGCGAAACTGCAGATACCAGCAATTAGACTACGAGTTTGTACATAGTGCCGAAACTGCGCGGTTTTAGGAATGTAAAACGGAATGC